CGGCCTCTGGGCTCTGCAGTGGGCCCTCCTGCGAGCATCTAAGCCAGCACGTGGCCGGGCTTTGAGGGCGGTCCTGCCCTAGCTTAGCCCTAGCTTAACGTGGACACGCGTGTTGGGAGGAGACCTGGGCCGGCAAAGCTGGACTGACCCAGCACTGCCGCAGACTCTCCGGGAGCCCACAGTCCCTCCTGAGCCGCCTGCCCCACCCAAGTCTGCGTGCACGCGTGCTCACGTGCATTCTCCGGGGCAGTGGCTCCACGCGGGCATCATGCCTCACGGGCTTCCCTCCCCGGAAAGGGTGGGCTGCCTGGCCTGTGCCTGCAGCCGGGGGTGGGGTGGGGGTGGAGTGCGGGCGGCCACCCACCTGCAGTTTGAGGCGGTGGGCCTCGATGGGGATGATCTTCAGGATGGGCAGGTCCACCACCAGCACCTTGGGCTTGCTCTTGACCAGACAGCCTCTCTCCAGGTCCCAGTCCGCGCCTTCCAGGTACAGTCCTGACACAAAGCACCCTAGGGAGCCAGGAAGGGACCGTTACGCGGAGGCACAGGCGTGAGCGTCGCACAAACTGGGAGCGTGCCCGAGCCTTCACCACGAGTCCCCTCGGAGCTGAGGGAAACGCCCCTGACGCAGACACAGGGCCCGGAGGGAGACAGCGGTGTCAGCTGCACCGCAGGCCGGACCCCTGTCGGAGGCAGGCGACGCCCAACCGAATGGGACGGTCCCGTCTAGCCCATCGGCTCTGGCTCCCGGGCCCGGCCCTCGGGGTTTGTGGGGAGGCCACTGGGTGCCCCGTCCTCTGAAAGGCCTGACCCTGACTGGGGAGTCCACGCCGCACAGAAGGAAAGGTGAGCGCGTCCAGGTCTCCCCGACATCACCCAGGACTCGACAGAGACCCTGGCGGAGAAGCGATGTGCCCCGGGTGTGTCCCCCCACGGCCTGGCCCGCTGCTCCTCCCTCAGAACCGGGGGCGGCGCCGGGCAGGGACCCCACAGAGGCTGTGGTCCATAGGGCTGCTGCACCTTGTCCTGCCCGCTCAGTCACTTCGTCTGCGTCCTGGAACTTGGTCACCTGCGTGAACAGGGTGGAGCGGTCCAGGGGCCAGCCGTTCCGCCGGCAGGTGGCCTGCACCAGGGCCGTGAGGTAGGATTCCGGGACGTGCAGCCCCGAGAGCCACATCACGTTGGGCTCGCTTTCCACGACCTGCAGAGCAGAGGGGCAGCTGCGTCAGATGTTGGTCAAAGCGGACGGACCCTGCGCTCACGGTAAAGACACCGTTCCCATTGGGGCCGGAAGATGGTGATAGGACCCTGGCAGCCCGTTCGGGAAAAGCAAGCTGCACCGCCGAATGCAGAGGAAGCAGAGATTCAGAAATCCTATATAATAAAGAACTAATATGCTAATTAGACCTAACAGCAGAATGACCATCCGGACGACCGTCCAGACGACCTTCTGGATGAAGCCGGGGCTGCGAGGGTCGGCCCAGGCAGCCGGGCTGAGCCCCTTGCACAAATTCCGTGCATTGGGCCTCTAGTAAAACAATAAGACCACAGAAATGCAGGTCTTCTCCAGGGAATGTGTCATGCCTCGGAGTAAAGGACACAAACCTGGAGCCATAAGGACAAGACCGACCTATCTGACGCCACAGAAATGCAGAGCTGTCCTCTGGGAAGAAACACCACGAGCCAAAGCCTGAGGACACCTGGCAGGCGAAGGCCCGTTCCCTTGACGTGCTAAGAACTCTTACAAATCGACTTCCAAAGATGGAGAATTGGATAAAAGTGAAACCAAAATACATAAGACAATTCACAGTCCTGGCTGGTTTGGCTCAGTGGATAGAGCCTGTGAACTGAAGGGTCCCGGGTTCGATTCCTGGTCAGGGCACATGCCCGGTTTGCAGGCTCGATCCCTAGTGGGGCTTGTGCAGGAGGCAGCCGATCCATGATTCTCTCTCATTGATGTTTCTCTCTCTCCCTCTCCCTTCCTCTCTGAAGTCAATAAAAAAATATTTTTTAAAAAGGCAATTTCACAGAAGAAGTACCACAAACTGAGATATACCTGGCCTCCCCCTAACCAAAGACACGCACATCCGGACAATCACGTCACCGTTTACCGACGGGACAAGACGTGCAAACATTCACACACAGCACCGCGGAGAGCGCTCTTGGCCGCCTGCACCCAACCTCCCCTCCTCCGGGCAAGCGTCAGGGTTTCAAGTGCACGCACTCGGGCCTCGTAGGCATGCGCGGGGAGCAGGCTTGAGTGAGCACCAGGACACGGGCCAGGCTGTCGCCTGTGCCGGCACAGGGAGACCCCCGGTGACCACCTGGATGCCCAGCACGGGGAGGCCCTGGGTGCCCGGACAGTGGGCACCCCCAGAGGAGTGAGACGGGTCTAGAGGGACTCAGACGGACAGGTGCCGAGACAGACTCTCCAGCGAGTGGGCCGAGCTGTGCCAGCGCCTTCAAGGTCTTCAAACAGGAAAAGGAAGAGACACAGATGTGCGGGCAGAGCACCGTCAGCCGCCTGCAGGGTCAGCACAGGGGCGGGGTGGGGCGGGGTCCGCAGGGCACCAGCGCCCCCTCACCCAGGACGTGTACTGGCTGAAGCGCCGCAGGAAGTAGAGCATCCAGTTCCCGAGGGACTTCAGGGTGTCGGGGGCCAGCTTCCTCCAGATGTGAGGGATGTTCCCGATGAACAGTGACCTGGCCACGTCGTCCAGCTCGCTGCTCATGCCCACTTCCCCGGCCAGGGCCTGCGGCGGGATGGGGAGCGGC